AGGAGAGGATCTTCATAATCTTTGGGTAGGCAAAGATTTCTTAAATAGGATATAAAAAGTAGTAACTTAAAAAAAAAAGAAATCGGACTTCAGAAAAATTAAGAAACTCTGTTCATAAAAAGACAACATTAAGAGGAAAAGGAAAAAGGCAGAGGGAGAGAAGATATTTGTAACACATAAATGCAACAAAGAGCTCCTACTCAGAACCCATATCAAGAATTCCTATAAATCTGTAAGAAAACAACAGACAACCAAATTAAAAATAGGCAAGACTTGAGCAGGAACTTCACAAAGGGGGATACCAAACCGCCAATAAGAAAATAAAGAGGTACTCAACATTAAGAGTCACCAGAGAAATGCAAATTAAAACTACAATAGTATACCACAGTACTACTACCAGAAGACTAAAATTAAAGACTGACAATATCAAGGACTGGCAAACATATGGAGGTACTGGAACTCTCGTTACCGGTGAGTCTGTAAACCAACATATCCGCTTCGGTCAACCATGTGACATTAGCTACTAAAGCTAAACATATGGACAGCCTACAACCCAGCAACTGCACTCCTGAGTGCACATGTCCATCATAAAGCAATATAAGAATATTCACGGCAGCTTCTTCTTGATAGCCAAAACCTAGAAACCGAAATGTTCATCAATAGTAAAATGAAGAAAATTTGGTATAGTCATACAATGGACTATTGCACAGCAATGGAAAAGAACAAACTGCTGCTACATGCAAAAACAAAGATAACGCTCACCAATGGCATGCTAGGAAAGAAACCAGACACAAAAGAGTACATAATGTACAATTCCAATTATATAAAGTGTAAGAACAGGCAAAACTTATTTACGGTGACAGACATCAGAAGGGCGGATATCTCTTGAGATGGCAGAAGGAACTGACTAGCAAGAAACGCAGGAGTACTGCCAAGCTCTCTAGTACAAATCTTGATCTTGAAAATGGCTAAAGTGTACATTCCTATACAAAAATATCATCAAGCTGTACACTGCATATTTGCGTACTTTGCTCCAAATCTCACTTTAATAAAAAAGGAAAAAGAGTTGGTCCCTTTGATTATCGATTCCACTTCGGAGAATTTATCCTGCAGATACCCTATTATATGTGCAAAATGACACTGTACAAGCAATCTATTAGAAATAAATACAATAGAGAAATATCTAAATAAATTATGGTAGGAACATAAAATAGTATTCAGAAAGAAAAAACAATAAGGAAG